GCTAAATCAAGCTTGAGAAGGTGGAGTCTTCTGGCCAGTAGTGCTAGACAAGATCCTAACAAAGTAGAATCTAGTCAGAAGAGGTCTACAGGTGGTAGATTTGGATTGCCTCTTATGTAATGGTAATGTGGAGTCTTCTACCCACCTAATGATTCGATGAGAATTGAATTTACTCATTGGAGTTGGTTAAGGATGGTAGGTATATTTGATGCCAAATGGTGCTTCCCAGCTGAAGTTAAGGGTCTCATTGAGGCATGGCATCTAAAAGGTTTAAGTAGAGCTGGAAAGGTAGCATGGAGCATACTTCCTTCAATAGTGTTATGGGTTCTGTGTAGTGAAAGAAATAAGAGATTTTTTGAAGGGATTCAGGCTTCAAAGGAAGAAATCCTATGTAAAATTGTGGGGATGGCTCATTCTTGGTTGGTAATTCACCTTTTGTTTAGAAATAGACATTCTAGTTATTTCTTTGATTCACCCTTTGTTTAAAAATAGACATCCAAATTGCCAAGCAATTTGGGCATTCAAACCTCAAAAGACCAATGTTAGAAAATGAATTAGAAACAAAGTAAATATCTTCTACTTCCCTAAACTGGTAAATGGGTACCAATATAGGTTAGCTCATATCATTGTCATGCATCTTCACTCATACCTAACTTAACGAAAATGTTAGATTTGGGAATTCCACGCCAACTAATGAATGTTAGAAAGTGAATTAGAAACAACCATCCATTTAGTACAATAGGCATGCAAGAAGAATCAACAAACAAATGTATTTGCATGAACTTCTTCATAAACTAAAACAAAATGAATTATGTACAAAGAAATTGTCAAATACCTGTTAGTAAGCTTCTTCAATAAGGATTGTCTTCAACACACTAGGCAAAACCATTGAAGGAGAGGGAGAGCGGGAGAAAGGGAAAGCGAGATAGAGGGAGTGAGAGTGGAGAGGGGGCAGGAGAGAATGAGGATAGAGATGAGTTCTGGGAGGAAGAAAGTTGCGTAGGAAGAGATTTGAGAATGGCAAAACAAAAAAAGGAGAGTGGGAGAGGAGGGAGAGCAGGAAAGATCAAGGGAAAAGTAAGGAAGAAGTTCAATCGAAGGTCAAGGAAAAAGTTGTAGGAAGAAACGGTCAAAAAGAAGAGAGTTGAGAGTGTGAGAGACAACAAAAGAGAGAGAAGAGGGAGGGCGGGAGAGAGCAATGATCGTGGGCCCTAGTAGGGTCATTTTAGTCATTGCAACTCAAGGTTAAATTTCCAAATAAAATTTTAAATAAATGTTATTATGACATTGAATCCAAGCTAGATTGCCACCTCATAGGAAAAGCATAGGGAAAAGTATGATGCTTAGTTGGCATGGGAATCTATCCTATAATTTCAAAAGTTGAATTTGAGTGTTATTATAAATTCTGTATGGGTTGTGGCCTGGGGTTCAGGTTTCTACAATGGTCCTGTTCGTACTTTTCTCTAAATAAAATAGCACAAATAAACATCAAGATTTCTAATTATTTGATTAAGAAATGTAAAAGTTACATAAACTATCAATTATCTTTCACATAAAACTTAAAATATTATTAAATCCAACACCTATTACATAAAGTTTACATGCTTTCCAACAATATGCGGGTTAGGGAGAGTTAGGTTTAGCCTAATACCGTACCTTACCTATACTTGTACAGAATTATAGAATCCCAGAACTCGTACCTGCCCCAAAACCCATCATTTAAGCAAAAAAAACCTACCCCATTGGGGAGGGTTAGAGGTGTAAAGTGGGTCGTGCAGGGCACCGCGAGCTGTCACAGGCCGTGTTGCCCTCCCCAGTGAAAAGTTTGGGGGTCGGCATGGCACGACCCACGGCCCAAGCCCGTGCGGGCCTGTGGGCCAAGCCGGGCCATGGACTAGGCAAAAGCTATTTTTGCCTATTTATTTAAAAAAATTGAAAAACTTAAAATTTTAATTTTATATGAATTTTGATGTATACAATTGCTTATATATATACAATAATTAAATAAATTAGAATAATAAAATTGAAAACAATTGTTTATTTTATTAATATATTATACTATATATTATTATATAATTATAATTTATATAATATTATATATTATATATTATATTATAATATAGGGAAAAGTACGAGCAGGCCCATTGCAGAAATCTGAACACCAGGCCAGCGCATACAGAATTTACAATTACTCTCTAATTCAACTTTTGAAATTATAAGACCGATTCCCACGCCATGTAAGCATCACACTTCTACCTAAGCTTTTCATGTGACGTGGCAATCCAACTCGGATTACATGTCACAATAACATTTATTTAAAATTTTATTTTGAAATTTACCCTTAAATTGCAAAGACTAAAATGACCCTCTTAGGGCCCACAACCATTGTTCTCTCCCGCCCTCCCTGTTCTCTCTCTTTCGTTCTCTCACACTCGCAACTCTCTTCTCTTTGACTGCAGACGACTGAACTTCGGTTGCTCTCCCTCTCGCCTGTTCTCCCTCCTCGCTCTCCCTTTATCAGTCTCTCCCTTTCTCCCTCTGTCTCGCTGCCATTCTCTCTCTCTCTCCCGGTCTTCCTCCCCTTCTATCGCTCTCCTGCTCTCCCTCTATCTCGTTCTCCCTCTCCCTCTGTCGCCCCCACTTTCTCCCGTTCTCGCCCCCCTCAGTCTTGCTCTCCCTTTGTGGCGCCCTCACCCTCTCCCTTTATCAGTCTCTCCCGTTCTCCCTCTGTCTCACCACAATTCTCTCTCTCTCTCTCTCTCTCTCTCTC